TGGTCTCATTTTTCGTGTATAACTTACTGATGTGTTGTTTGCGTGCGAACAGTGTCTTCCGTTTTTTGGATTATTGCATCGAACAAATTGTCTTTGGTAATTTTGACAGAAATTTCTCAGATCCCTGTAATCCTCACTAAAGTTACGAGTTAGAAACATTGACAATAGGACGGGAATAAGGTCGGTCTTTATTAGATGGGGGAAATATTAATCGTAAGAGCAGTAATGCTGTAGTGGGTTACTGTCTAATTGAGTTTTGATAAAAGCTATTAGCAATTTTAGTAAATAGGTATATCTATTTATCCCAAATAATCGTTACTAAACTATGTATAAATTCTCAGTGCTTGATATTTTTTGTTGTTTTGTTAGATTTCTTAGCAGTAGTAAAAGAAGTCCCATGTTTCTTTAATTTTACAACTTAATTTTTTAAATTGTAATCAAGGTTTTATTATAGGACTTGTTTTCGTCACAAACAATAAGATTTATTTTTGTTTTTCGTTCGTAATTGGCTGTGAAATTAGTTTTCATGGTATCTAAAAAAATGCGTAAAGGCTGGTGAACAAAATTTTAAACCAGAAGTGACATCTGGTGACAATTTGTGAAAACATTTAAGGTTAATTAGCGACACCTAGGTAACCACGACAAAAATAAGTTGTAAAGACAGAAAAACACAAATCTTAATAGTACTAGTTTCTCTCACGAGATGGCGCTAACATAAATTAGACTAAAATAAGTGTGGGTGTGATAAAAAAAATGAATATTTGTTAAATTTTACTCTATTTACCATATTATTAAAAAAAAAAATTAAAAGGATTTCCTTTTCTACCATAAAAAAAAGCTTTTTATTACCTATTGTTTAAACACTATCCACATTGATAAACTTTAGAGGTAGAATGTTAGAGCGCGGTAAAAATATGTTTGTTATTGTAGTGGACAGACTATTAACATTAAAAGGGCGCCAACCGCCCCCGCTTTTCAATTACTTTCCAGTTTCCACCCACGAGTGATATAATGTCAGTGGCGGTAACACCCACGATCACAGACATAAAAACTGATCAATAATTGCCTTTAAGCGTTAGGTATGTCTAGACATCCTAGCTGCGAGGCAGTCCGTTATTTGTCTACGCTGAACTTGCTTAGCGGTGTAATAGTGTAAACAAACTATTTTTTTGTACAGCTTAGCATCAGCTTACATATGTTTAATGATTTTTAAAGTGATAACTTCTTTAGGCGCGTTGGGCATTTTTGGACAACAAACAAAATAATGTAGTTTTTGAGAAAGGGAGGAAAAAGCCATTGAACTCGGGACACTGTTACCGTTACCGACACCGCTGTATAAGTTTCTACGTATATTAGTCCCGTTTACACGAGAGTTGAGTTTGGGTTGAAATACATTGATAATATAACTATATCATAATATAATCATATATTGTGTATATACCTACGTACAACATAGATATAATTATATTCGTGTTAGAACTTTTGGAATCGAAAAAAAACGATTTTTTTTTCTTGTAATTTTTTTTTTCAAATTTTCAAGTTATCACTTCTGTCGGCACTCCTGGAGTGCCGCTGTTTTTTTTATGGAATATGGCGGTAAACGAGCAGATGGTTCACCTTATGGTAAGTGACCACCAACGCCTATGGACTCTTACAACTCAAGACACACAAGTGCGTTGTAGATCTTTGTGTGACCACTCTCCCCACCAGGATTAGGGCTTAGGACTCCGTTGCTCCTTGTTCACTCAGAACAATAACAACGGTGTAGTAAATACTCCTCAGTAAGCGCATTTCCACGGCATTAATTACTCTTAAATTTCTTCTGCCATATCCAATTCTTGCTGCCCTACATCGGAGCTACTGCCAAGACTCCCTCAGTAGCTGCCAGACGTGTTTATTACGTTCTAACTTTTCACATGAGAATGCAGGAGTGCTGTGTGCCTCGTGAAAAGTCAGAACAAACGTCCACTGAGTTTTAAATGAACTAATATTATAATGCTGAAGAGTTTGTTTGGTTGAACGCGCTAATCTCAGGAACTACTGGTTTAAAATTAAAAATTCTTAAATATTGGATAGTCCATTTATCAAAGACGGCTAAAGGGTATGTAACACCACACTGCGAACGATATGAGTAGAGTATCAATGCAAAAACTAAAATCATAAATGAACTAAAATCATAGACTTTATAATCTCAAGTTATTTTAAGACCATATTTCTTAGATTTTAATTCATATACATACGGCTGTATATCAATAACATTGAGAAATTAATTATGTACATAAAAAAATGCATCAGTGCCCGAAACATTTTTAATAGATGTGTGTATTGCAAAACTAACCTTGTCACATGTTAATGTAAAAGTTTTTTTTTCAATAACGCTATGTCGCAACAATGGGTTGCTAAACTATTTCTTTCAATATCTATGGGAAACGTTATTAGCCCCTGGTCTATTGTGTTGTCCAATCATATAACGAGCCAAGCCGTGTTGTAACTGTGCCTCAATACCTCATCTTGTTAAAATGACATTCTCATTTCCTTTTGGGCGTTTCTCTGTAGTTTTTCGCTTTAAAAATAACAACATTTATTTTACAAGGTGAAACATATGTAATTAAGGTCAAACGGTTTGAGTCATGTATTCTGGGGATACACGATTTGTTTCGCATTCAATGGGGGTCCTTTTATTTGTGGGTGATGTGTCTATCACATGCACGAATGGTGCTTACTGCCAATGTGACTACAAACCTCTATTAATTTAAACACAAAACAATCTCTATAGTGCGGCGGTAGTGCATTCGACTGCCACTTTAGGGCTCACGGGTTCAATTCCCACTTAGTACCAATTACTGTATAATCTACTTGATCTTCATATAATATATGTTTAATAAAAGTGTACCTCTATTACTTCAAGATACGCTTTTTTTGGTTTAATACATATAGGTATATAGCGTATAGAGCAAAAAAAGCGTAGCTTGTAGTACAGATAAGTATGTAACCATTTGGTTATAAACTCTGTATGTGTGTACTATGCCTCAGAGACTGGTGTGCAAAATATGAGAGACCTGTACTACCGACCTATTACTTAAATATGCAAGTCTTACGTATGGAACTTCCTTCTTAAGTTTTTACTCGGGTTGGATACGCATTTACAGTCCGAAGTTGGGCAGTCAAAGTTTATTCCTTTCGGTTATAGAGCAAAGAATTATTTAGTATAAGTATGTTTTCAACAGTCCTGTTACCATAACACAGGCTCTGCGTAGTTTGGGATCAGACAGCAGTGTGTAAAATATGTGAAAAAAAATATGCACAACGTGTTTTATCGCCTCGTATATGTTGATGTTTTTCATAATGTTTCTCATTCCGTTCGGCTGACCTTTAATGTCAATAAAACTTACCATTACTAAGATATGGCATTCAAAATGGGCCACATCCGGCAATATTTTATTACTTACTCACTAAAATATAGGCATTAAGCAATTGTACGTGTGAATGTTTGGTACTTATACTTACGTAAAAGGGTTTGGACTTCCCGCCAACAGTCTCCAGATATGGCAGTTTGATGCCAAACTAGGCAGAGCCTATACTATAGTAACCAGACTGCTGATAAGCATACTACACATCATCACATCAACAGCTTTTAATATTCCACCGCTGGATATAGGCGTCTCCTTAGATAGGAGGTTTTGGCGTACTATACCACGCTGGCCAGACGGGTTGGTATAGGGTTTAGTGTTGTTGTCTTGCGTAGTTTGCTCCCTTAGTCGGCTTTACGACACCCACGGGATGAATAGGGGTGGTGACACTCCGTATTCTTAATCCGTCACCATATGGAAAAATCATACATAAGTATTATAGATATATTACACCTAGTCACAGAACAAATGATCGTACTCATCACACAATCATGTGTCCTGGGTGGGAATCGAAGCCGCGACGTCCGGCTTAGAAGTCAGAGTCGCTTACCATAATAGGACCGTCGTACACTAGAATAACAGTATAATTTTCTTTTAATGAAAAGAAAATTAATTTTTAGGGAAGATAATGATCTTCCCTAACAATAGACTAATTTCCAGCCCTGGATCTACGATTTTTTGAACCGGGTCAGAAACTTAATAATAGCTCCCCTTCCAGCGTTTGAGGTAAATAACTTAAATAAACTAAAACATTAAATGTGTAAGCATGAACATTTTGTTTTAGTTTTTTTTAAGTGTTTGATTTGAGAGGGAATCGAACCCTCGCCCTTTGGTGTAGCAGTCCCTTACACGAACCACTAAGCTACCTGGCCGTCAACGTTTGGCCCTTTAACGAGACCTTTGGTTCAAGAAACAAACCAATAAAGTACTCGCTGAAAGTCCCATAGGTCTATAACATTGAGAAACTTATCCTTCGCAACTAACAGTCCGTCGGTTGCAACACTATTCGCGATACACTGGACTGGAAATAGGAAGTGAACGGCCGGCCATATTACACCGATATTGATAGAATATAATTGGTCCGTGTGTCCCAGTTTCGCGTGCCCTACGGAAAGGTGAAGGCGATGGAAAGGTTAAGTTGATATGAACAGCCTTTAATGGTTTATTGTATCAGAAAAAGGCGTGACTTCGAGTAAGTAGATACAGAAGGAATGAATGAAACAGATACAAAGAACACCCAGACTCAGAACAAAAATTTGTAGAGCAGTCAATCTGTAGGAGTGATTTTGTGAAAAGGGACGGAAAAGTGTAACTCGAAGTTAGGGAAACGCGCGTTATTTGATTTGACCAATGAGCGAGCGTGTCGCTAGAGTTGGCCGTCCTATGATATGTGAGAAGCCACATGTGACACCAAGTGAATGAGGTTCCTAAAGCTCAAACTCTTACCCCCCCTGATTCCAAAGAGGGGAGCGGTATAACTCGATACGATAAAATTACACTTGTGATTTAAGTGGCCGCTTATTATTAAAAAAATAAAATATACGTTAAAAAAAAAATTGTCGTATATTGCACATAATTAAGTGATAGTCCTCAGTACTCTCCGCGCAGCTGGTATACGTAGGAATTGGCAATGCATATAAAGTAACTCCAAACTGAAACAAAAAAAAATGTACAAGTTTATTTCTTTTTAGAATTTCCGACTTCAAAAACAAAAACGGAACTCTTATAATAACAACATTGTCTGTTGTGGTTTTATTGTCCAGTATAACTTAAACTGTCAATGTACAAATTTTTGCACAAGGACAGGTCAAAATATATACAGAAAACCATTTGTTTAGGTAGCTGTTTTTCATATTTATTTTCGCTATGGCACTTTATATCACATATTGTTTAAACATTTTAGTTTTCTACACCTCTACATATAAAAAATTAAGTAGGTACTCCAAATACGAGGCGATAGAAAAATCTAGTATTCCAAACTCCATGTGGTAACGGATTAAAATACGAAGTGTCACCACCTCTGTTTATCCCGTGGGTGTTATAATAGCCCACACAAGGAGACACAACAGCACTGCAAAGAGAAGGAAAACTTGAAACAAACCGTATACCAACCCGTCTGCCCAGCGTGGTGTAGTAGGCCAAAACCTTCCTTCTAAGGAGAGGGTTATGTCCAGCAGTGGACTATTAAAGGCTGTTGATGATGATGATGATTATGAGTTCAGTTATAGTTATATTAAGTGCAGTTTTACAGACGTTCTAATATAAATATAATGTGATGATGAAGCTAAGATGTTTTTATTTGATCATTCTTTGTATCTAATCTCTGAAAGTGCCAGCCAGATTTTAATAATAGTAAAACACTATAACATTGCGCTTCGACTTTTAGGAGCTAAGGAGAGCTCATAGATGCTAGTAGAACTGCGGGTAATGGCTCCTTTATATATTGTAACTCACCAATAAAATAAATAATGTGGGCAATTCCATCGCTTGGGTTCCAACAATCGAAGTTATATTCGTGTCGGGTTAAGAACATGGTCAGTGTGATGACACCATGACACAGCATGAAGAACGCAGAAAGCAGCCCGAGTGACAAAAATGCTTCGGCAAAAGACAAAAATCTTCCCTGAAACAAAAAGGAAATGATGAAAAGGCGTTGTTTGTAATTTAAATTGATCAAAAAACTTTAAACATCGATTATAATTATTGAACATAATTAACTTTACATAAGCGGCTGTATAGTAGGCCAAAACCTCCTTTCAAACGAGAGGCTTATGTCCACCAGTGAACTATAATAAAGGCTGTTGGTGTGATGATGATGTGAAGCATGTTTTTCTGCAGTCTGATTACCATAGCGCAGGTTCTGTCTAGTTTGGAGCAAGACTGCCGTGTGGTGGATGTGTAAAGTTATAATTATAAGTGTGTACGTACAAAAAGCAACGTCAATAAAAATCCAAAGCTGCATACAACAGTGAGCATGTTCAATATTAACAGTATCCACATGAAGACGAACGAGGGTTTGAATAACGGGTTGCTCTCGTCCGTGTACTGGGTCGGACATGCTGGCCACATTAATATACCGCAGCTATGGCATGTTGCTAGCTGAAAAAAAGCATAACATATGGAAAATGGCGAAAATTATTACACTAATCCATATTTATTACACTTTAACGCCCAAACCGAAAAACCGATTTAAAAAATTCTTTCACCATAGGTAAGCTACATTATCAGCGAGTAACATAGGGTAATTTTTACCGCGATAACCGCCAAACATGCTGGAGGAGCCGCGGGCAAAAGCTGGTATCTACTATATACCTGAGGTGAATTCTCTGTCAAAAAATTAGTGCACGAAAGAAGGCAAATGAAAATGGGAATACTTAAAGAATATATACGTTACATAACATATACGTTAACCTATCGTAGTATGGGAAGTCAGTACATTAACAGTCCAAGTTACAGTAGCCAATGAGGTGAACCGAAAAAATCTTAATGAACATGATTTCTAGTATTAAAATAACAAAACATTTTTATAAACCCATTTTGGTCAAAGAAAACTGTTGTTAACAAAGGGTACTTCTAAAAAAAAACTTTTTAAATATCCTTTGCAGAATACACTGACCACAAATAGGCAAGAAAGTTACTTTATAAAATAAGAATCACTTATTACAGGAATTAACAGTAGAAGCAAAATTCCTGCGTGATTAAGTCCGTCACTGTGCAATTATGTTTTTTTGCGTATATTCTTTAATAGTCTGCTATTGTTAGTACTAAAATGTTAGTAGATACTTACCATACTCCACAGGACTATAAACACACAAGCCACTCTCAAATGCCTGGTACACCAACAACATCTTTTGAATTTTGGACAGCAAGGGAAAGGCATTGGAGTGATCTCCTTAGGCCTGTCTATCTAAAACTGTATTTCATTTCATTAAACTGGAATCTCAGACTATTACAGGTTAATTTACACCTAATAAATTACTGTACTCTGTGTTTTCGCTTGATACTTGATACTTTTGGTAACTGTTTCGAAATGACAGCAAGTGACATTTTGTTTTTTTCCTTGGGAACTTCTTAATTTAGGTATACAAATGGTACGGCTTGCCGACATTCCTTCTTATAGAATAATTATGCGAAATAATAAAGAAAGGACTATGCAACTTAGTTATCTATGAAAGTAAAAGATGTTACCGCAGTAAACCACATTTGAGCCATTCTATATCAGATTAAATGTTCCGAGTTCATCAACAAACATCTTCACATCAAATGTTTCATTTCCATTTGCTTTTGACATTTAAAGAAGATTCTCGAAACCAGTTATTTCAGGCTAAATTTATTACAATTTATAATTTTGTAATAGGAACAAAACTACTTAATTGAAATTTAAATGTAACGGCATTTTTTAAATATTTTTACAATGCTTGCGTAATTATTCATCAGTGTTACCACTTTTAGTTAATACCAGATTTACAGACATCGCTAGTGTTTATAGCAGCCATGGCCTTGGTTTTAAATGTTTAATGGTGCTGTGTGGCATAGATGACAATATTAATAATTAAAAATATGTGTGTCAAAAATGTTATGGTTGTCGCGAAGACTACAATGCGTGTGACCCAGCATTAACAAGCATACTTGCACGTCTTATGAGCGCGGTGTTCAAGAAAAATGAGTAAGTAATGAAAATATCAGAAAATCATCAGCATAATAGGCTGACGCGTCGCAAGGAGTACTCCCTAAACTTATTCCTGGGTCGCAATCAGACACTTTCGAAGTCGCATGTGTTGCCCCCATCTATCACACGATGGACGAGGCACCCCATGTAACAATAGGTCTCTACACGTGCTGGAGAATGTAAATAATGTAAAACTTCCGCCTTTTTGAGGACCTATAATGGGTGTAAAGAGAAGAATAAGAGAGTATTTTGAAGATAGAATACTAAAATAATAAAATTCATAAATTATACAACTATTATGATAAACAATAAATAAAATATTATTTCCTCTCTCCCAAACAAACTGTGCTGCGCCCGTCAGGGTCCATAATTGTTACTATATTTAAATTGATATCACCTATGTATTTACATTGTGGAAGCAATAAAGTATTGAGTATTGAGTATTGAGTATTGAGAATAGACAAGGCCGCGAAAGGCCAAACTTATTCACAGAAACAAAATGTGCATTTGTTGCTTTTGCCTGATCAAGAAGTGAGGTTGGGAAAAAAATAAAGGAAAAAAACTAAACTAAAATCAGCATAAACCGTCAAAAAATACGGGAATCCGACTTCCTTGTTTTACATCTTTAGTTGCCAACTTTTCTCATAAAAAAATTAGGTAGGTACGTATGGTTAGATACTTTACATATTTTTAATGGGTAGCTTCTTAATCACAAAACATAAATATTTAACCGCTTTTAAAAAAACAAGGAAGTATTAAATAACCTATTTGATTTTAAAACGTAATTAAAAATATGGTTTCGAATAACTGACATGTGGCTTCAGGAAGTATTCAAATTAAATGTATTCTAAACTCATTTTCTATTCTTGGCTTAACTTTATTTTTATATAACATTTTTTTATAAGTTTTTGATAAGTTAAAACCGTGTGGTGACGGATTAAGAATACAGAGTGTCACCACCCCTATTCATCCCGTGGGTGTCGTAAGAGCCGACTAAGGTAAAAAACTACGCAGAACCACAGCACTGCAGAGAGAAGGAAAACTTGACACAAACCCTATACCAACCCGTCTGGCCAGCGTAGTATAGTAGGCCAAAACCTCCTTTCTAAGGAGAGACTTATGTCCAGCAGTGCACTATTATGCTGTTGATGATGATGTTAAAACAAGTTCGTGTTATAAAGGTGATCTTAGATGTTGAGCAGCGTCAAATAAAGTTTTACATTTATTTCCATAGACTATTCGCCTGTGATTGAATTTTGAGCATATTTAATATTGTTTCCCTGTAGGTCTGTCAAAGCGTTGAAACATTTCATTATGATTTAGATTAGTGGAGTGGTTTAGGCGTGTAAGATTAACAAACGAACACACAGGTAGAAATATTAGTTGTGATTAACAGGACTGATAAAAATAACTACAACAATTCTCATACCCGGCTGTCTGATACCAAACTAAGCAGAGTTTGTACTTTGGGAACCAGAGTTCTGATAAACATACATATATATATTATAGATAAATTACACCCAGACACAGAACAAAAGATCGATCACAAAATTATTTATCCTAGAGGGAATCAAACGCATAAGAAATAAATGATATTACTATTATTTAAAAAAATATTATCTTACTATTTCCAACTTAAATAAGCATGTAGTGTGTGTGCGGTATTAAATACACCTCAACATTAATTATAATAAAGATATGAAGTCAGTCATGTTAACTATTCCATAATTTCGCAAGAAAGAGCATCTGCCTCCGTGGCGCAATTGGTTAGCGCGTTCGGCTGTTAACCGAAAGGTTGGTGGTTCGAGCCCACCCGGGGGCGCGTCTCTTTTTGTATTTGTTACGGCAAGTTGTTTAAATCATTTATAATTTATTTATGTTTAATTGAAATATCGTGTTTTTTATTTATTTAATTTAAATGTAAGAATTTAAATTAAAAAGTGTTTTTAATTTAAATGTAGATAATAAAATAATTTTAAACACAATTTATTTTAAATATAAAAAAACGAATATTTAAGTTAAATATATACCCGCTACTTTGTAACTCCACTCCACCAAAACGAACCGCGTATCTTTTATTAATTTTTATTTAAATTAGAACTTAGAGATAAACATAAGAAAATCGATCAGATAGTACGGACACGGAATAGATTTATTATTATTTTATGTTTATTTTATATCATTATATTTAATATGTGAAAGAAATTCTTTGTACCTTTTACATCTAACCGATACGACCTTCAAACCTTCACGAAAAGAGCGTAGCCCCCCCTCCCCCCAAACCAAGTGCGAGTGCGAGTTTATTTCACTTCTACTCGATCGTCACGGTGACCGCACTAAAATCTGCACTTTGTTCCGACCAAGGGTCCATAGACTCCTCACGCCGTTTTTTTTATCAATTCTTTTATTCATTCCCTACGTGCCATTTACAACCTTGTGTAGATGGCACAAAATCACAGGGAACTGTGAATGAACGGTCATTTATTAGGGTTACTACTAATAAGCTGTCGGCCATATAATAATAAGCTGTCTTCAGACGATGCATAAAGACCCTATTTCGCCTATTTAACAGTCTGTAAATCTAGTAATTATTTTATTATATATAGCTACCATTCCCTAGATATTATTAAAAAAAAAAAACTAGATTTACTGTTAATAGTGTCTAACCTACCTAGCAACCCTAACCTACGTACGCAAAAATCGAATGATAAATCACAGTTCACTGTGATTTTGTCCCATGACCATAAGCTTCCACGTGTAGAAAGGAGACAGTACTAATATATAAAATCAAATTTTGTCGGTATCAAAATTCATAGGTTATTAAAAAAAAATTAGGTTCAAAAGACATTCTTGACATGGTTGGTGCTACTCCAGAATAAATCGATAAGTTCATTATGGTTTAGTCTATAATCTATATCATCATCATCATCAACAACCTTTAACAGTCCACTGCTGGACAGAAGCCTCTCCTTAGAAAAAAAATAATCAATAAAATCTATATGATTTCATTGATAAAATTTTCAATAAATAATTTTATTTCTAAGTTTGAAACTACAATAAATGTGAAAATTAATTAGTGTCTTTTTATTTTAAAGCAGAAGTTACTGATCAGATTTTAAATTAATATTTCTAATTATTCTTTTTAAATAACGAGGGCAGAGAAGAAAAAAAAGAGAGAGGGAAAAAAGATTATAACTCAGACAAAAAAAAACAAAATACATTACATTTCAAAAGAACGTAAAAAATTCACAAATTACATAAATAATAATGTAACATTCTTTAAATTTATCAGTAAATAGAGGTCATACTAGATTGTATTACGTAAAAGAAATGTTTCAAAAATTTATGTGTGAGCTAATCACCTATTTCGCCAATTCATGTATGCCTTCGATAGCTCAGTTGGTAGAGCGGTGGACTGTAGTTGGACTAATATTGACATCCATAGGTCGCTGGTTCAAATCCGGCTCGAAGGAGTCTTTTTGTTATTGTTTCACATAAAAACAAAATTTATTCGTTAATATGCTAAAGTAGAAAGATTATCTACCTTTTTAAGATTCCGTAGTCATTAAAAAGAACGCTTAGTTTTGACATGTTTTATGCGAAAAAAAATGTACAAATATTCAAAGTTGTTACTTGTAAACGGGTAACGACATACTACGGAATTTTAAACTACGTGGCTCGATACGCACTTGACCTGTTTTTTATTTAGACTTTATTTATCAAAAGCATGTCAAAGTAAGCTTATTACTTCGAAGTTTATTGGTAGGTACATAAATTATTTATCCAAATAAATAAACATACATAAAAAAATAAATAAAATAACAAACATAAATTATTACGCGCCGCAAAGCTCTCTATCCCCTTAATTGTTTTTGTCATTTTTTAAACTAGTCATCATATTACTGCCATTAAACTTCCACTAAACCTTAATTAATTAATAGCACAACCTTCCTCCTTCCTTCGTATTACTCTATCCACAGAGCACCCCTAATCTGTGACTCTATCCTATGATGAAAACCGTAAGAAAATCTGATTGCTGCTTGGAGTTTATAGCGGTTCAGACATACAGAATAGGTGTATAGATGAGTCGGGGGACTTTAGTTAATAATAAGCAGTGATGTAAATAAATGTATTTATAACTAGAATATAATATGCATAAATTAAAAGCAATAAATATTAGTTGAATCAATGGATAAACACAAAAAAGGTAC